TAAAAAAGAATGGAAATGTTGGAATGCACTCGAACATTTCAGATGAGGAGAGTACGGAAATGTAAAAAGGTAAAATATGTTCTGCACTGTCTTAAAGCTTTTTTTAAATCTGAAAAAAATGAGACCAAATAAGAAAAAAACGGACAAATTTTTTTGAAAGAAATAAATAAATGTGAGAAAAAAAAAGAAGAGTGGGCGGAGGAGGAGCGGAGGCGAACGGAGAAGCTCATTAGCAGAGAATCAGTTGGATATAAAGATGGTAGATGTGATCATTAGGGCCGGGGGGAGACAGACAACGCTGTGTGTGTGTGTGTGTGTGTGTGTGTGTGTGTGTGTGTGCTTCATGTTCAGAGGATGAAAGGGTTCATGGGGAAAATTTAGAGCCAAAAAGCTTGTCATTTAGGTCTTTTATCCCCTGTCTCTACATTCCCCCTCCGCCGTCCGCCCACTCATCTTCTTACTGCATAAATAAAAAAAAACAACCATCCTGAAAATGTTGCCAGTAGAAAAAAAAAATGTGTTGGTACATTTTCAAATACAAAAATTAGACTTCTGAATGAAATTGAAGGCATGCCATGAACGGCAAGGAGCGATGTTTGTGTTGGCAAACGGATGGTGAATGTCTTTGAGCTTTAATTGACGTCCGGTTGTAATCTCAGGATAAAGATCAGGAGGAGAACATGAAAGCATCTCGACAAATATTTAATGTCTCCATGTTGGAGGCTTCTAGCCAAAACGACACCTCAGCGCAGGATCAATATCCATCCATTGAGAGTGAAAAACATAAACAGGGAATACATTAACCGAACATCATTAAAGCTTTAAAGCTGCAGTGAGTTCTTCTTTTTTAAGAGCTTTAATTAAACCAGTGATCAACAATCCCTCTACAAACCTCAGCGTTTGTTAAAGTGTAACCACAGTACACAGAGATGCTTTGATTGTAGTTTGTTATGACCTCATCTCTAAAAGATGCACATATCGTATAGAGCGTGGTGTAAATGTAGACCATGCAGGGAAACAAGAGCTCTGTTTAAGGGTTTCATTGCAAACCCCACAAACAAAGAGAAGTATGCGTATGTGCATTCTTTTATATATAGCTCTATAAACCCCCGGTGTGCACATAGTTCTGTTTATAAGTCCTCGTATATGCATCAAACGCTCGGCCATGTTTCCCCTCCACAGCTGGCCTCGAGTCAACATTGTCACTTTTTGTGTCGATTGTAATAAAGCTTTCCAGTCATTAAAATGATGCATGTTAAGAAGTGTGCAGGGTGGCGCAGTGGTTAGCGCGCGTGTCCCATGTATGGAATCTGTCTTCCAAGTGGGCGGCCGAGGTTCAAATCCGACCTATGGCTCCTCCCCCGCTCTCCGTCCACCATTTCTGACTCTGTCCACTTTCCTATCGCTCAAATAAAGGCACAAAAAGCCCAAAAATAAATCTTAAAAAAAAAAAAAAAGTGTGCAGAAATATGATTCAAGATTCAAGATTCAAAAAACTTTATTGTCTATCACATTGTGACATTAAATTACCTTTTGTTGAGGCTCAACATGAAAACATGCAAGCATTCACACGGACACTCACATTAGGTCATAAATAGCTAAAAGTACCCTAAATAGGTAAAAACACATATGCACAGAATTAAAAAAACATTGCTTATTTAGCCTTGTTTAAAATGTGTATTGCAGTGATATGATATTAGAGAGTGCTTTGTGAGAGGTGTTGAAATAGTGACCACATTGTGTTTATGGTTTAGTAGAATATGACTTAATGAATTACAGTTATATTTATATTAGATATATTAGATATTATTAGATATTAGAATTATATTTATTGAAGGTGTAAGGGGACAGAGAAACAGTCAGTTCCTGAAATCAGGACGAGGCAAACATCCAATTTCTTTCTAAACTTTCTCATTAAGGTGACTTGGCTGAGGAGCCTCAGAGCAGAACAGGAAGTAGAGCCTCTGCTCGCAGTGTTCACACTTTGTTAGCACTTTGCTCCTCTCATGAATCGGCAACCGGGGCAGCAGATTGTTGAGGAGGCTCTGATAGCAGCGGGACGTAAAACAGACGTGTTGAAGGAGCCTCGCCGTGTTTACTACCTCACAGTATAACAACACCAATCAATAAGAGCGGACTCCAAACTTCCGAGAGAGAGAGAAAAAAGCTGAATGAACAAAAGGAAAGGAATCACACCTGTTAAACCCACAGAGACGCCTCACAAAGCAAACACTTCTCTAATATTCCACTCCTATAGCAGAAGAGAAGAGAGCGTTTGAACGCCGTCTGCAGGGTTTGAAGTCGCTCGTGTTCTCGGCTCCCTCCTGCACGCCTCTCGCTAATTTTTCTATTTCTATGTAAATTCATCTTCCTGCCTCTCAGAAAGCCGCGGTGCAGAGAGCGAGCCGGGGAATGTGGTCGTGGCAACAAAATCGCTGCATCGAGGATCACGCCGCGCAAATGTTCATCTTAAAACCGCAGCAAACACAAGGAGGGGAGGGAGGGGAGGAAATTGGAATGTCCTTTTCAGTTGAATATTGTAGGTTGAATTTATCCCTCTCTCTCTCTTTTGACTTTTTTTTATTTCACTTTCTCTTTCTGTCCCTTTTCTTGATTTCCCTCTACATGGACAAACGGACACTTCAAAAAATAGCGCCGCTCATCCTCTTCTCTCTGTTTGTCGAATCGATCGGCCCCTCCCCCCAGGTCTCCGTCTCTTTCACTTAATCGTCCTCCTTTCTTCATCAAGGCCACGTCTTTGATCTCCGTCTATACCTCCTCTGTCTTCAGCCCACACTCTCTTTTTATCTTTTCTGCTCTGTGGATGAATTCTCCACATTCAGCGGAGAGCAGTGGTGGAAGTTGCTCTGCAGAGGTTTGGGATCAATGCTAAGAGGGGAGAGTGCTGCACTTGTAAAGACACAAATTCATTTTCTCGGGGGCTAATGTGCAAAGAGAAGTCGATTAAAATCTCGAGCAGTCGTTTTCTTGTTTGTGACATTGAAAGAACACTTTGCATAATTTGGTAGCAAAAGCAAAGTAACAGATTTTTGTTGCAAAAATCTGCAGCAGATGTTTTTTTCCCATCGCGTCTTCCTCTTGGTTTCTTTGCCTTCAGAAGCTTTTCTTTGTGCGGGGAGCTCAGAGCTGCAGCAGGGCGTGACGCGCCGCTCCAGAGCTACAGTGAACCCTGTGAACATCAGGATCATGTAGACCTCAGGTCAGACCGTCAGACATCATGTGTGCTTTCATCGTATAGAAGGAGGACATATAGAAGTTGAGTGTGTTTACAGGCAAACCTGCAGAGTCTGGTGTTGTGTGAATATGTTTTATATTTGTAATGAACAAATCACTGTTTGCTACAAAAGCCACATTTCATTGAAAGTATCGTTTAAAATGTAGCCAGGGAGCAGAGAGTGTTTTGTAATCTATCTATTAAATAAATATATATATATATATATATATATATGTATATATTCTATATATATATTCTTTTTAATTCAGAAGACAATACATATTTCCTCTTGAAGCCTTTCCTCTTTTTAATGGGTAGTGGGCATTTTGAAATGTTCACAATAACTTTTAGACACAATAGGTCATCGATTATAGAAAAAAACATTAGTTTCACTCAAACTGCATGCTGGGAGAAGTTGCTGCATTAGAATCATATGAGGTTAATGGTCTCCTGCAGAGAAGCAGCGTGGTGTGCTGCAGATCAATTCTCCAATACGATGAAAGTAATCAGAGTCCATCGAGTCCGATCATCAGCTGATGAGAGAAACGTGTAATACAAAATATTTAAAAAAAATTAATATCATGAACAACAGCAAGAATAATGATTCATACTGTGTTGATGCAAAACTGTGAAATACAATGTACTGCTCTGTGTGTGTGTGTGTGTGTGTGTGTGTGTGTGTGTGTGTGTGTGTGTGTGTCATTGCCTCACTCTCTTTCACTACCCTTTGAATGCTGGAGCTGTGTTTCCATGGCAACGCTGACCCCTGGGAGTCAATGTTATTTTTTTCACACAAGTAGCCTCTTTACAATTCCTCCCTCTATCCCTCTCTCTCTCTCTCTTTCTCTCCCTCTCTCCCTCTCTCTTCTCTCTCTCTCTCTCTCTCTCTCTCTCTCTCTCCCTCTCTCCCTCTCTCTCTCTCCCTCTCTCCCTCTCTCTCTCTCTCTCCCTCTCTCTCTCCCACTCTGTTTACCTCTCTACCTTTTCGTCTCCTCGACAACTCGCACTTCATCGCTTTTCTTTTTATTATGAACCAAAAACATGGAGACAAAACTTTTGAGTAATGTTCAGTTTGAGCTGTTGAAGGTGCTATCATTGTGTGATAACTTATACTTCATATATATATCCCTGATCTTTCTCCTACACGGCTGACACACACACACACACACACAGACACATCAACAACTCTGTATTCAGACATGGTTCTCTCTCTCGTCTTTTCTTTGGCGCTTTTAGTCTCCGTCCTTCTCGAGGACGCCTCTGAAAGCAGCGCCCCGACAAAGTCCTTTTCACACCGACCTTGCCTTTAACGTCTGCTCTGAGCTGAGCAATGTGGGCTCCGATTTACAGAGTTTTGCATGACAAAAGAAAGATTTTTCATCTCTGATCTTCATCGCATAACTGTCCTTCATTTTTCTCACTTCGCTGCGTAATTTGAATTCAGGAGGGCTGGTTTGTCATGCATGATTAATCACTAAATCACAGGTGTGACATTGTCTCTTTCTGACTCTCTTTTGAACATATGCCGCAGAAAGTTCACTTTGCTTCATCCTGCCTCTGATTCTTTGCCCACATCTTCTAAACCCAAGAGTTCAGCTGAATCAAAAGGAAACCCTTTACTTCAATTTCCCTGGTTAGGAACGTTCAAGTGATGCACAGATGATGCTTATACTTAAAAATCCAGCTGAAGCATCTGTGCTATAATAACAAAATGAATCTGTTTCAGAAGATTAACCTGTGATTTTTCTCTGCTCCTTCCAAACAGGCCAAGTTGATCGTCCCAAACAGTACGGCGGGGCTGATCATCGGTAAAGGCGGAGCTACAGTCAAAGCAGTGATGGAGCAGTCTGGGGCGTGGGTCCAGCTATCCCAGAAGCCCGAGGGCATCAACCTGCAGGAGCGAGTCGTCACTATCAGCGGGGAGCCCGAGCAGAACCGCAAAGCCGTGGAGATCATCGTCCAGAAGATTCAAGAGGATCCTCAGAGCTCCTCCTGCCTCAACATCTCCTACTCCAACATCACCGGGCCCGTCGCCAACTCCAACCCCACCGGTTCTCCTTACGCCAACTCCACAGAGGTCATGCCGGCCGCGGCAGCCGCTGCAGCAGCCACGGCTTCCTCTCTTCTGGGCCAGGCCAGCTTGGCGGGCGTCGGCGCGTTCCCGACCACCATGTCCAGCCTCTCAGGCAATGATCTGCTCGCAATCACCTCCGCACTCAACACTCTGGCCAGCTACGGCTACAACACCAACTCCCTGGGCCTGGGCCTAAATCCCGCCGCAGCCTCAGGCGTGTTAGCCGCTGTAGCAGCTAATGCTAACCCAGCAGCAGCAGCCGCAGCTAATTTGTTAGCATCCTACGCTAGCGATGCATCCACCAGCGCAGCTCACCCGGCCACTCTCGGAGGTTTCTCCCTGGGGTCTCTGGCTGCAGCTACAGGGGCGACCAACGGCTACTTGAGCGCCGCGTCGCCACTGGTGGCGTCATCTCTACTCGCTACAGAGAAGCTCGGAGAAGGAGCGAAGGAAGTGGTCGAGATCGCCGTGCCAGAAAACCTGGTGGGAGCCATCTTGGGGAAAGGAGGGAAGACGCTAGTGGAGTACCAGGAGCTGACTGGCGCCAGGATCCAGATCTCCAAGAAAGGCGAGTTCATCCCCGGAACCCGGAACAGGAAGGTGACCATCACAGGTTCCCAGGCCGCCACGCAGGCCGCACAGTACCTGATCAGCCAGCGAATCACCTACGAGCAGGGGGTACGCGCCACCAACCCACAGAAGGTGGGCTAAACCTGACAGCCAATGAGAAACGAGGAGGAAAAGAGGAAAAAAAAAAAAAGAGTGGGGGCTCGGGGGAGGAGTATAAAAAAATTGAGAGTGAGAATGGAAAAAGGAGAGGAGAGCGAGAATGTCAGAAGGAAATCGTCCGCGCCGTTTTCTTCTGCGTGTTTTCAGTATTCTTTATTAAAAAAAAAGTTTTTTGACGCGGAGCAAAAATGTGCTGAGAAGACGAGGAGGGAGAGGAGCGAGTTGTCACGCTGAAAAACCAAGAAAAAAATGTGTAACATGTAAATAAGGTTTTATTACTTAACGTCTTGACCTTTTGGGATTTTTTATTGTTTTGTTTATTGTTTTTGTTTTGTTTAGTAAATTAAGCTGTCTGTTTGTTTGTGTATTGTGTGGACAAAGCTGAATGCCATGTAGACAGGCCGACTGCCTGAGAGGCTACAGGAAGTGAGGGGAGTGAGGGAGGGGCATGGGCACGGAGGGGGAGGGGAGGAGGGTTCTACCAGGTACAATCCTCCACCCCCCCACCCCCCCTTATCCAAAATCCCTTCCTTATGGAAGCAAACCCTTACCCCTCCTCCCCCTGAAGCCCACACTCACCACCCTCCTGCAGGGTTTTTGTTTTTCTTCTAGATTTGATTTGCCCCTCAGCCCCCTCGCCCCACCTCCCCCCCAAAGCCCTCGTCACTACTTGCCCCCCACCCCCCCCCAACCCCATTTATAAGGTTTTATAATGAGCAAGACTGCAAACTTCAGCCCGGTGTGTGAAGAGAAGGAACGTCCCCGACTTCCCTCGACCACTCTAACACTCTCCCCTCACCTATGATCTCATCTCCCCCCTCCTCCCCTCTATTTGGGGGAGGGAGGGTGAGGTGAACGAGGGGAGGGGTGTTGGGGGGAGAGAATCAGTTGGGCGTTCCTTCATTTGCACACACAAGCACACCCGATCTCCACCCCCATTATACCCCCATGATGTATCCCACAAGCAGTGCAGCGCCGCAGGGGGTGTAATGACACGTAGTGCCCCCCCCCCCCTCCCCTGCCCCCCATACGCAGCTCTAGTGTTTGAGATAGACGGCCCCAGCGCACGCTGATGACCTCACGTAGTGCGAAACCTAGAAAACGACGAGAGTGATACTGTGCAAGCTGCGGCAAACACACAGGATCTGTGGCATTCTCTGCATCTGCTGTGATAATTCTGTTAATGATTTTGTCCTGATTATTACGATAGGAATCATCACCATCGTCATTATTTATTAATGAGTTCACCCATAAAAAGCTCAGTTATTTCTTTTTTTTATCTGTGAATTCAGGTTGACATGAATGTAAATGAGACTATTTTTTGATTTAAACCTTTTTGTTTTTAATTTAAGTGGATTGAAGATGAATAGTAATGTCACATAGTGTAATATATGTCTTATTTAAGTCCAGTAAGAAAGCCGCCCCAGGCATTAAGGTCATTAGAGTGAAGGATCACCTTCTATATATCCAGTCCGAGAGCAGACCAGGGAACACGAACACACACATGCACACACACATGTACACACTTTAACACACTATAATGCCATGTTTGGTGCTAGAAAAGGGAATTCTCCATATCTATGATGCAGACTGCAGTGAGACCTCGATTTTTAGCAAGAACATATCTTGAAACCACTCACAACACAGGCTGCTGTGCAGCGTTTTAGCAGCTATATTAACCTGAAACCTCCTGTTATCATGCTAAGCTAACCGAGCTAATGCTGCAAATATCCCTGCTGTTCTATATCTGTAGTGAAATGCCCTGCTACAGTTTGCCTACAATGTCAAATTGTTACAAAAAATGAATAATTGAGTTGAGCTGAGACTCGTTCTCAGATGAACTGCTACAGCCTGTGGTCTCCAAACCCTAAGATGAACCACAGACGAGATCAAGTTAGAGCACTTAAGACTCACTACGTACTACTGAGAAATGCAAACATTGAGTCAGAGGAAACACTGAAACTTGACGAGGGAACATTGTTGGCCCCGTGTGCACTGCTAAATCCGCAATCCTCGCTCGTAGATTTTGCTGTTTTCAGGCAGCGTGCATATCAGTCAGGGAGACGAATATCATCACTGATCTTTGCCCTTATCAAGCATCCGTCCGCCTGCCGATCAGGTAAAGGGCAGACAGGAGAGATTTCAAAACATACATCCAGAGAGATGAGCTCGTTTCTGCCTCCGGCAAGCTGCAGGTCTCCCATGGCAACAGGTTCACTGCCCACTGTAGACCCAGGAGGCTGCTGAAGATGTTTCTTTTGTTGTTTATTTTTTTGTTTGTTTGGTGTTTTGTTTTTTACAATCGGAGTACACTGAATTTTGTCTTAATGCACTGTGAAGCGAGGGAGCGGCTCTCTCGGCCTGTGAGGTCAGGGACGTGAGCTGTAGTTATTGGACGGCTTTTGTATGGCAGGGATAAAAAAAAACTAAAAAAAACCACACACATATATGAAATATATGTCGAATGCATATGAAGAACTTCACGGGAAAATTGACGTATCATGTGTGAATACTGAAGGAGAGTAGGTCGATGAAGAAGATCAATCAATGAGGTCAAGAGTTTGAGATCATTAGAGTCTTCTGTCCTGTGGTCCTGATAAAGTGTTGTGTAATGAGAGGGTGGGATGTTGGGGGAGTGTTAGGTGTCCAGAAGCAGATTAAAAGAGACTGGAACAAATTCTAAATTTCAATTTTCTATTGCAGCTGTGTCTTTTTCATAAAATTGATAATGTACTGTACATCCAACGGGCAAAATCCTGGACACAAACTCCAACAGGAGACCAAGTGTGATGAATGTAAAATGACAAAAAATGTGGAGGGGGAGCATTTGATTTATTGACCTAAGCAGCCTCGTGAGGGGAGGAAACTCCTCTAAGATTTAAAAAAAGAAAGACATCAACTTAAGATTCTTTTGAAACCAATCCGACCCCAAAGTCCTCTGAATGTGTCACTCTGAGTTGGAGCGCCAGTGAGGGTTTATCTCCACAGCTTGGTAAGGAGGCTTCTTTACTCCCATCTAACACCATCCACACTCTCCTCACCCTCCCTCCCACCCGTCCTCCAGTGCACTCCCATCCTGACACCCCCCCTCTCCTCCTACCACATCGCTCCATGGGTGACTATGTCTGGTGTTTACGATCAATGCATGTCTGCTGCTTGCCCCCTGACAAACGCCACAGATCGAGTCTCGGTTCTCTTTTGGCTCGGAGACGCCCCTGACGCAAGAATTTCGACCACGCCTGCAGAGGAAGTCGTAGCTGAGGCCGCAGGGCACAAAACACTCTTAATCTGTCTGTAACATTGATTTGGAATACCTTGCTGCACAGACATAAAAACATACACATATCATGAGGGAATATTTTAGCGTTGATGGGGACTGACTGGAGCTTTGTTTGATATTTAGAGGCAGAAAACCTCAAAAGAGCAGAGGAAGAAAGTGTGCTTTTGTTCCACTGTGGGGCTGTACTGTGCTGTAAGCAGGGTTTTTATTCTACGGCTTTATTTATCATTTATAGAGGGGGAAAAGATGCTGAGGATTTGCTTGCATTTACACCTCTTTCATCAGTGTAAATTGAAAACGTGTTTGTTCTCACTGTTGGTCAGACAACCAAGGAATTTATAGGACTGTTCTTTGAACTTATAACCAGCATTTCTCAATATTTTCTAATATTTTTAATGGTTGAACCAACGTTCAATTAGTTAAAATGATTTTGGAAATAATTATTTTTACATTCTAAGCTTTTGTTACGTTATTATCCTTCAGGGCCGGCCTGCTTTGCATCTTCTTGAAAAGCCATAAGGTGCAGATTATTATTTTTAAGAGCAGGTTCAGTTTGTTGCCAAATTTTCCTGAAGAGCTTCGAGTAGGTAACTTCCTGGTGTGCAGCACAGTACATGTACGATGGAATAACTGCATTGAAATCCCTGTTCTAGTTCTCAGCTGAGTTGACGGATACGGGACAGTTACTTCATCTCATGAATCAAAACTTAAGTTCGATATTTCCTGGTTTGTCTTTTTAAAAACAGCCAATCTCTCTAGTTAACGTACTGTTAAGGGGCTTGAGATAAAAAAATGTGACTCGTACTGGAAGCAATACATGTAGTGGCATGTCGTCTTGTCCTGTCTTTAATCCTCCGTCTGCCGTAGGAGCTTTTTGGACTTACCTGTAGATGTTGAATAGGTTTACACAGGTCAAGTTTTTTTTTTCATTTGTGGAAGATGCTGCTATTGAATAATAACTGATGTACTAAAAATACAAGGTTAAAAACATATCGAAACCTGTCCTTTAGCTGAAGTGGCAGTGTAATACACGCTCAGTGATAAGCTGAAGATAAGTTCATAATAGTGTCATTCTAACCTGAAGTTAAACCTGTGCCAAAATAGGTCTTTAAATGTGTTGTTTTCCACCACATTAGATAAGAGGAGACATACTTTTATATTAAGAAAATGTGAAAAGTGCCAAATGAAGCATATTTATCATTGACATATGAAGGGATTAACCACATGACGGTTTATTCAAAGTAACGCTGGAGTCGCCTCAGTACTGCAGTTAGTTTCAGCCCTCTCTGTTCCTGCCACGCGACGAGGGGGCCCGCCATGTTAGCCGAGTGTTAGCCAGGCCTCTGGGAACTACACGTCCCAGAATGCAACAGCACTATGACTCTGGGGCTAGACAAATCAATATAGTCATAGGTCGGCATCATGATGCTTCAAAATGTGACTTGATAGCATTCTTAAATACAGCCTTTTATAGTTAGAATGAAAATGTATTTTGTGGAAATAGATGTTATCTTTTTTGCACGTCTATATTGCATGATATCAAAGTGAAGCGTGAACAACAACAAAAAAAAAAACAGGAAAAAAGCAAAGAAACAAAAAAGAAGCGACAAAAAAAAAAAATTAGGCATTCAAGTGTGTGGCATTCATTTTTTCCGGAGACAGAATCTTTGCATGCCGATAAGGGGTCGAGCATTTTGATATTGTTTTAACACGCGTTCAAATGTTTGTTGTTTTCTCTCGATGCGACCGCGCTGAGTCCTGGTGAACAAAATGTTTTTCGACTTCACAACAGAATAAGTATTTTGTCTTTTTGACTTGTCTCACCGTCCTCTAAAGGATAAAAAAAAAAACCTCTCGAACAAACCCTCGGAATATTTTTGCTACTTGCTGAGCGAGCTTGTACCAAAACGTTCTCAGTTGCTGCCAAACTTTAGAGAAACAAAAAAATAATCAGGATTTCAAATGAAGACTGAGATTGTCCATGAATGTACTCACCTCTGCATAAGTTTGCATATCACTCCTCTGACCATGACGTGCAGTAGAGGCTTTCCTGTGTTTTTCCTGTGTTTTTTGTATTCTAACATTACTAACCCTCGATGCGCTGTCTCGAGCTCTGAGTTGAACTCTGTTTTCTGTCCTTTGACCCCCCCCCCCACAC